GCTGTATGAGGGATTTTTGACTATAGTATCTTGTTTCTGATAGGAATATTCAGCCCTTGATAGTATCTTTAAGATATTTTTTCTCTCTTTATACATAGCGAAATAAATGGCTAAAAAATTAACAAAGCGTAAAGCATAATATTAATGGCATAGATTTATTATTTGGCAGAAAGGATTGTCTTTTTTTTTTTTTTTTTTTTTTTTTTTTTTTTGGTGGAACCAGGGATTGAACTCAGGCCCTTGTGCTTGCTAGGCAAAGGGTTATTTTTACTCAGTAAAAAATACAGAAATAAGGCCGGACAAATAGCTCAGCTGATTAAAACTCCTGCAAGAAGGCACAAGGGCTAGGGATTTCATCCCTGGGCCTGTGCAGGCCCAGTCCCTGGGGCATTCTGAAAAGGCAATTGAGACTGGGCATGGTGGCATGGGTTTGTAATCCCAGCACTTGGGAGGCTGTAAACAGGGGGATCACTATGAGTCCAATCTAGTAGTGAGACCTTGCATACCCTGTAGAACCTTGGCTAAAATAAAAAGAAAAAAAAAACACAGAAATAAAAATAAACATAATGTATCAAAATGAAAAACTTCTGTATGAGAGACATTTTATAGCATGTAACAGTAGGAAAAGACTTCTCCTAGTTTAATACAATTAGACAATCCATAGAGAAGTGGTCAAGAAGGATGACTATCAGATTACAGATGAGGAAATACTACTGATCATATTATGGCACTTTCTTTTTAGTGTTCATTTGGTTAGTCTTCTCCCCAGAGGAAATATTTTCCTGTGCCTGTCTGTTGTCCTATAACCTGCAGCTAATCCTCAGTGTCTCTCCATTACATCTTTTTTGATTTGCCTCAGGGATGGTGTCACAAAACTAAACTTTACCCTTACCTGCTACCCCCACAAGATTCTGCACATTTCCCTTTCTCATGACTTGCCTTGCCTTCATATGCTCGCTTTTTTTTTTCTCTCTTGATTCTTCATTATGGAGAAGCTATGTGTTCCATTCATATTTTTATCATAGAAACAGAACCTATGCTATTTTTAGTTAGTAAATGAATTATCCATTGAGTTACCAAAATATCATGTAAAGAATAATTTATTCAAGAAGTCTGTCCTTCATTTTGGTGAAAAATAAAAGTAAATAAGTCATTTTATTAAAATGAAGATTTTGGTTGTCTGATAAACTTTTCCCTTCCCTTAATATGACAAAAAATTCTAAACAAAATGTGCTGGTGAATGAGGCAGTGATTAATGAAAGGTATATCCATTGTAGGAATTTTATTTGTTATTTATTTATTTATTTATTTATTTATTTATTTAGTGGTACCAGGGATTGAACTCAGAATCTCGTGCTTGCCACACAAATGCCATTCTACTGAGCTATCTCCCCGGCCCTATTGTAGGAATTTAAAAAAACATCTTAAAAATATTTTCATTTGGTTATTTCCTTAAGAATTCCATTAAAATAGAGTACAATTATAATTAAGCATTATAAAATCTTCAAACTTTCATATTATAGAACTATTTTTTTTTTTTACTTCTGAAAACATGAGTGGGATGTAGAATTGATCGAGCTAGGTTTCTTTAACTCATTTTAGTGAATAGGTACATTTTTAGTATCAATGGAATAAATCACAGCATCAGAAAAGATTTAAGAATGTTCACATGGTTGGGAATGTTATCAGTGAGGGATTCTTTTCTTGACTCAGTTATATTAATTATGTTTTTATTAGTTCCAGTAATAACAAACTAATATCTGTTATATCCTGAGGTGCCTTTTTTATCTTATTAGTTTAGTTTTTTTTCTTTTTCATTCTGAACCTTACAACTTGATTTTGACAGCTTGGGCATGAATTCCAAGCACAATGGAATGAGATAATAATCTTTCTGGAAGTTTTTTTTTTTATCAATGCTTTTGGTGTCATAAAACACTATGAAATATATATTCCTCCATTTCTTTAAATAAAATACACTTTATTTTGACACAGTGAAAGGTCAAATTTTATATTTTGTATCTTCTTTATGTATTTTATAATAGTCTAATAGGGACTTTCCACATACCTAAAATCACTTTTCTGTAAGGTTGTCTTCAAGAGTAGTGAAATTCACACCTGAGTATCAAACAACACTGTTGTTTACCATTTCAGGTCAAGTACAGTAAATCACCTGTAGACATAAGAGCTATAATGTTCCGTGTACCTCTGTAAATATTTTCCTTATTAAATTGGTCTCTTGGGGCTGGAGAGATGGCTCAGTGGTCTAAAGCACCTACTTAGAACAAGCTTAGCAAAAGCATCAGGGACCGCGGTTCAATCCCCCAGCACCA